AATGTTCGCAAACTGAAGACAAAGTCTCAAATGAACTAAATACTTCTGAACTCTGAGGGCGCTCATATGTGGCCGAACTTCCTATTTCCTGCTCACTGCAGCAACATGTATAATACGTAATGTACATGTACGGTACGTCATGTGTGCACGTATCTTGGGTGAAGCAGTGGAAGCTCGTATGATTATCATTCGAAACTTTAAGAGCCAAATCAATAGGTGGCATACATCGATCAGATGTTGCAGTAATAGTGCTGGTAGTTTGCAGGACAGAATAGAAATTAAATTAAAAACGGGAATCACAAATATACATTAACAAGCCCTTGTGTGGCTGAGCTCCAAATAAGGAGTTTTAAAACTTCGCTCTGGAAACACTTGGGTGAGTTATGTGTTGACATGTGAAGCCCACCCACCATTGTGGTCTTTCATGAGACTAGTGAAGACTTCCTAGTTAAGTATTGTACTGATAAAAATGAGCAAAATTCACACATACTTTCTAGGAAGCTCAACTACACACTAATGCTGGTATCTCTACCAGTACCAAAACCAACATCAACCTTGAATTCTCTCTCAAATTCTGGTCACAAAAAACCTACTTAATTACATCTGCAAACAGATCACTTCCTTTAACTTGAAAAAAAAAACCAATCCCGAAATAACAAAATTCATGGTGTTGGCCAAACTCCACTCCACCAAACTTAAGACGTAAAGACAACATGTATGATTACGCCTCTTCCCTATACGCACAACGAACATATTTTTTTGCACGAGTCAGGCCACATGGCGTGCATGCAATGCTGATATGGTAAGAACGCCCTGAGAGTTCAGAAGTATTTAGTTTGTTTGAGACTTTGGTTAATCTGAAGATTGATAACGTGTGGAGAATTGTCCACTTGTCATTTTGTCCTTTGATTTCGACTTTTTTGGTTTGTAAAGTTGCCCTCTTGTTGTTTTGTCTGTTGCTTGGTTTTGACTTTCTCATTTTTGTACATTTATCCTTTTGTTGTGCTTAATCCTTTGCTTGGTTTTGAATATTTTTTTGTGGATTTATCCTCTCACCACTTGACTTTACAGTTTATTTACAGCTTCGGTCTCTCGGGGTTTTGTAATTTGTTAATGTTTGACGGTCTTGTGAAAAGAATGTGTTTCGGTGGTTGTTTGTCCTTTACAGGTTTCTCAATGTTTATTACTATTTATTTTGGCCCATTTGGCCCCCCATAGATGTAAGTGGGGATATAATTGCCCTGCGTTCATACCTCTAGACCTTATTTCATTTGGAGCAATTTCTTGATGAAATGACTGCGGCACTACTTTAAGCTTAGGAGATACAAATCAGATTGGGTTGCATTCTTACCTGGTGGTGCCTGAAGAAGCTACATTACATCTTTATGCAGTTGAACCCATTTACTTTTGGAGTGTTTAGAAATCCATCATTAAAAAAATGCTTGGTGCAGTCAATTTAATAGAAGGCAAGTGTAGTGATTACACTGGTCCCAACTGAACATTAATTTGGAGGCATGTTTAGGGAGTCAAAGTTTACTCTGTGATGTAGTACATGCTGAGTTCATCACCTGGATGCCTTTTTTGGGGGATGGATTTGTTGAGAGTGTGCAGTTGGGAGGGGTACAGTGGGAGTGGATTTGACTGTGATTTGACGTATTTACACAGACACCCACTGTGTGTTGTGTGTGAATAAGAGATTTCCCTTTAGTGGGAACAAATCGTGTGTGCCCAATATGTTTCTGCAAGCTTGGTGCAGCCACACTGACCATATGCAACCATGCATGTTTGAATCATGCATGTGTATAGTGTCCATGCACATGTATGTCTGTGGCTGGAATGTATGGAGATTGGTGTGGGCACCTGGATCCTTGCCAAACTCTCGCTTCTCTGTCTGTGAGGGGGTACTTATGCATAGAGCACATTATCTCCTTGTTGAAACCCTACCTGAGACCAATGCTTAATTAAAGGTTTGAACAGTCACAATGACAGTGACAAATTATGAATCACAATCATAATCAAGTTCATCTTCTTAGGCATTTTCTAGGAACATCGCTGAAATTCCCCAAATCCTCCACGAGGCAGGAGCTCAGCTGGCAAATCTTTAGTATTTATTAAACAAGCACAAGGGGCACAGAGACTTGCGTGAAGTAACAGTGGCTTGGCCTTTACATGTACCTTCCTAGATCCAGCAAAATCTTTCCAAATCCCCAAGTGGATTTTGTTGGATCGAGTGAAGTTTAGTAATAGGGCAGTGCTTACGGTAGCGGGTTAACAGATTAACAAAAACCAAACCAGTGAGGAATACCCTGTTTCTTTAAAGGTCAGTGACTCGTCAGCCATTGACATTTGCAACTGTAATTGCAGGCCGTTGGTCCATGCCATTGAGCACTGTGGAATCTGTGTAATGCATTTAATGAGCCTCGGTGCTGCCAGGGTTTAGGGATTTGATTTCATCCCATTTGTTTCTTGCTAACTCTGGTTGGATGAGAATTTCAAAGTTTTACTCAAAGAGCACACTGATTTATTACACCTGATGCAGAGTACGCTGTTTTGACTGACAGTGAAGACCTTTGGAATTAAAGCATGCCACGCTTTGTGCATTTGTACAGATTCTTCAGTCTGGGCAGTGTTTTGAAAATGTGATCAGGAGTGTAAACTGACTGTTGCAAGAATATGGTTGGTTCAAGAAAGTCATGGACAAAATCATGAATTTGCACTGGTGTTTGATATGTAATTCCCTACTTTTAAGACCCCAGCTTTTGAAAATTTTGTACAACCAGTATACTTGTCAAATTCCTCTTGTTGTATTTTTTTATATGGTAAGTAGCAATCCACTGATGATCTGCTGAAAGCAATCACAAGTGGCTGGAAGGCAGTTTGCATCAAACTTGAGCAGGGGGCCCAGATTGAAATTTTTGCTGCTCTTGGGTAATTCCAGTCTGCCCAGCAGTGTCTGAGCCAACCGATGCGAGCTGATTTTCCTGTGATACTTTGGAGTGTGACGAGGGGATTATGGTTTAAGGGGAAAAGCATATCTCCCTTTAGAGAAAGCTATATGTACAATGAAACTCCTAAACATCAGGCGTGCAACTTTTCCTCGGGTCAGCTGATTTTCTCTTTTTTCACTTCACACTCATGCCATTGAAAACTGAAAAACGCTACAAATTCTTGTCCAAGTTGCATGTCTGAAACATGTAAATTAGTTGTGTACAGTATTACATGATGGCAACGTCAAATGTTCATTTCACCATTGTACCCACTTTGAAGTTCTCATTGTCAAAAGACTGATTTGCCCAAATATCTGTTGCTGATTTTGTTTTTTGTTATATCCCAGGGACATTTTCAACCATACATTCAGAACCATCTGTGAAATTCTCTTTGGCTGTACAAAAAACAAAGAAAAGTGACCTGTGCTGATCGTGATGCATTTCCAACCTCTCCTGAGAAACCTCAGCCCAACTGATGAGCCAAGCATTCATCATTATGCCAACGCAATACAATACACCTCAATTCCCTGATACAGGGCTGCCCGCTTCAAAAGTGAGCATGCACTATTTGACTGTTATGTATTTTATGGGCCCCTGGATTTATGATGTGTGAGACAGGAGACTTGAAGATGTTGTTGCCTTGCTGGCCACTCTAGTCATACATGTATATATAAGCAGATTTTAGCACTTCCTCCCTGATCAATATTGCCAACCACGTCTGTTCTGGAGTTCTACCGGGCTGATACATGAGCTGTGTATGCACAGTGTAGAAACATTCACTCACGTTCGAATAATGAATAGTGATACTTTGAAAAAAATTCATGAAATTCATAATGCGGTCATAAAGTTCATCCGTGATTTTGTTACCCAGTTATGTATGAAGTGTGTGTAATTTATTGTGGTGTTAATTTTAACCTCTGAAAAAGGCTTTAGGGATTTCCTGCAATGTCTACATCTTGTCTACATGCCATAGTCAAGATAGAATGTACTCTAGGCATATTCATCCTTTTTGGTAGTTTTTCTGGGTTTGATTTTTCGATGGGTGATATTGGTACAGCCTGAAAAGTTGGAGGGGGATTTTAAGCCCTGTAGAGGATATTTAACTGTGGCAATGTATCGATCACATCACGAACCATGCACCAACCCAAACTAATGTCTTTCTTTGACGGAATGCAGTGTTTGTTTCAGTATGCTGCATCTCAAGGGAATAAGGCTTTTGTGGGCAAATTCCTTCAAAGTAAATGGGTCATTCTATAAATTCAGACTCCAAAAGTGTGACATTTTCATATCCGTGTTACACCTGACCTGTGTAATTGACATGGTAATATCACTGAAATTGATTTCAAACTACATGTACTTCTATTTGTTTGGCAGGTTATTCACATTAATTCATTACTCTTGGAAATTAGATCATGCATTCTGAACTTACAAAACATGAGTCAGATGTGACAGGGACACGAAAAAATTGGACCCCCAATTTATAGAATGACCCAAATGCTAAAAATCTTAATTATCATTGCTTAAGATTTTTCCAAATTTGAAACGAAAGGAGAGAAAACACCCCTTCTATACACTCACTGGCTGAAACTCTTGAAGATGTATGTCTGTTTACATGCTGTTCATGTTGAGTTGGAGTGAACTTTATGTTGACTTTGTTCTGTAAATGAATGCTTAATTTGCAGTCGATGATTAATAGCAGGATTTTCCGGCGTTGAGTCGGCGCAAACCGTGGTCTTAAAAGTTTACAGTGTAAAAAGCTTTTAGGGTCTGACAGAAAGCAGCAGTAGTTTGCTGAGGGGTTTGCTGTACATTCTACACATCCAGGTTCATTGTTCTTTTTGAAAGCAGAAAGTGATCTGTAAAATGATTAATTTGTGTTTTCCAGTGCTCTTTTAACTTTCTGTTTTGTTTTTTGACTGCAATTTTAATTCCATGTCATTTTTAACGTAAGCCAAATTCATGCAGTGATGAATGGATTTGTTAATACCTTTTTTTTTACCTTTCTGTCTACAGTCTCTGGAGAGCACGCGGCGCATGCTGCAATTAACAGAAGAGGTATGTAATGTCAGTTATTACCTTAGCTCATACATATTCATGATTTAGAGGCAAACTCTTACTGGTTTGTTCATCACCAAGCATGCACCTGAGGACTCATATGCAAGTCAAATACGCGTTAGTGCTGAACTGTTCAGTTCATGAAACTGTCGCACAGGGGAAGTATGCTCATGCAAAAGGATAGCCTAAACTACATTGTATACGCACACTACACATGGACAGACAGCGGCACACATACATGCCGCCTTTCCTTTGTTCTGGAAACTTAAATGGCACTTGAATATGTCTGAGGCATGGTAAAACAAATGTAACTAGTTTGGAACTAGTTTTATCAATTTCCATTTCCTTGAGAAGCAAATACTGACTCTCAACCGTTGATGAATCAAACTTGTACCTTGTCAGTATGTTTTTAATTCTCCCAGTTGGCATTGCTCTGTATATGTGCATGGTGTGATGAACTGGAATTTTCTGGAGGAAATACATGTATACCATGGTTATTTTGCAATTGAACACCACTCTGCCATCATAGAAGATAATGCTGGCTATTGCTCACTCTCTGTTGAGGTACTGCTCCATATGGAATTACTGAACAGAAAGACATGCTAAAACGAAAACACACTGCCTCACAAGGAGTCCCTTTGATGTGGATTGCCGATTCTGGCTTAGCATGTCAATTGCATAAGTAATATTCATGTATTCTTTCAGGAAAATGGAGCTTACGACCACTGAACTGTTCTTTGACACCTTTGTATGTTGCATGCAAGTAGCTCACAAAAGATTTGTCTGTTTTGTTTTCCACTGTTGTTTTTCCATGTCTTGGTATTTCTGATATGGAGGGGGGATGGACTAACAGTGGACATGAGTGCTCCCCATTCATCAGTGCTGCCACAAAAATTGCTTGAAATGATTTGTCTCAAATTGAAAACTGAAGATAATAACTTTTACTGTGCCTTTCAAGTCAATACCTTGATCGCAACATTCCAAAAATAGCCGACTGCACAAACAAGCAATAATAGCCGGGGGTAGGCTGGGCATCCCACCTCGGACAATCCACACGCATTTATTCAGTGTTGCCTGGGTCTTGCCAATGGCTGTTGGTGTTACTTGAGAAACAACCCGAGCATGAACAATCAAGTCTTGTGATTGGTGGATTGGTTGCCCTCGGGTTGTATACTTAACTGCACCAGATAAACCGGATACATGCAGTAGTAATCACATGGTCACAACTGCATGATAGGATTAAACCCTTGGAATTCTTATATAAATTGTTTGTTTTAAAACAATTGTGTAATTTTTTAGTTCTTAAAATATCTGGCCAACCTGAGAAACATTTTATTGGTTGTTTTGTGAATGTTTATGAGTGCAATAATTTCAAGAAGTGACAGATGGAATGGAACATTCCATCTTCCCCCAAATTGAATGATTCTCTCCAGTACATGAATGTGTAACATTCATTTATTGTTTATTTCATACAGTTCCTTGTTCTAATGCATGGTGACTGTGGATTAGAACATTCTTTTGTTTGCAGTGCAACTGTGCCGGGCATCAGTACGAATAATTCAATGATATGCAATCGATGATTCATCAATCAGATGACAGAGATTTTATTCCGGCATTGCATCAAAAGGACTGGCGCTACTTGTTCCTGAAAATAACAGAGTTTGAGTGGCAGTAATTTGATCACAGAAATGGTTGTGCACTGTACGCGATGACACTGTAAGATAAAGTTTGGAACAAGTTAAGAGTACTTCTATCTTCCACCCTCCTTCCATGTCAAATTAGCAAATTGTTATCTCTCTGAGACTGCCCTCCCATATTGCAAATGAACATGTACTGGGTACCCATCTCTTAAATGTATACACGTGTGTGTGTGTTACATAAATTGTACCTGTACATTACGTGTGCATGTATCCAGCTGGGTTTCTGTGTTGCTGTGTTGCTTCATGAATATGATTCAGTTGGTTTATTATTTTCTTATCGGAGGTTGAATGTTAGTCAGCATTGTTTATTTGGCATCAGGTACACTGCATTTTGCAATATAAATGGATCCCACTGGTGAAGCATCTTTGTTACAGTGCAGATACATTGTATTTTCGCTCATATTTCAAGAAAGGTGAAAATGCGGCAGTCGACATGTACATGTATCTGTATTGAATCGTATTTTAATCATGTTTTTAATCACAACTACACAGTATTGAACAGTCAGCACACAGATTGACATGTGAGAGAGGTTATGCCAACACAACCACAAGAAGAAAAATCAAAAAAATAATAATAATAATAAATGCTTCCTTGAAGTATTTTACTGAATGAAAAGCAAAACAAAATGCATATTGGGACTGTTTCATGCTACCAGTGTCTGGTACTTAGTGTGCTAGGTCCTAGTTTTTGCCAGCTTTCCTTTTTTTGGCCTTGACTTTTGTCAGAGTTATTCCCTGATGAATCTTGTCATCCTACATTTAATCAATGAAATTTTATCATAGGATGTTATTATCTTTTTCAAAGTGCAGACCTTTTCCCCATGGTCTATTTTTCTGTCCAGTTGCCAAGAGCAACAGGTGATCAGACGGAATGAGGTTTGTACGTCATGTAGTTTTATGACACTAAAGAAGTTCAAGTATACACAGGCACTTAATGTCCATTAGACTTAACAATCAGCCATCAGTGAAGCAGGTACATGTATGATTGCAAGCACTCAGAAGTCTTATTGGATGAAAGCAACGGATGACGTATGAACCGCTGAGCCAGAGAGAGTTTGTAATCTGGTTCTTTCATTTGGTTGTTGGGAAGAGAAAGTTCCTATGTGCTTTTATTATCACTCTTATTTTCAATCAGGGATTAAAAGCCAATTTCACCAAAGTTTTTCAACCAATGCAGATGATTTAGAATGTGTTGTTCCGTATTTTGAAATCAATTTTTGCAGTCCCGCAAGAAAAAGCAGTTGAAGACAGAGCAGCCGTCTGCCATTTGTGATAATTGGTTACCGCTATATTGTACCAGTTGCACTAGTAATGAAAGAAAACATATTTTGCTTAATATGCAAAGGGCTCAAAAAAATAAGTTTGAAAAAGTGGAAAGCAAAAAACCCCCAAAACAAAAACCCAAAATGTAAATAAGTTGCTGCAAAATGCGCATTGACTGAAGTAGTCTGAAATAAAGCTTACCGATAGAGGGGCGTCTGTTTCCGTCCTTGCACTATCCTTACTTTGTCTTTGAGAATAATTGGAAAATTGAAGCTTACTCATACCTTTTCTGATCCATGGTCCAAAATGCAGCAACACACAAGGAAACATAGAAGACTCACTCTTGTGCATTTCATAAATTTAGCAAGCGCCGGCACCTTCGCGTTACCTCTAGAGGAAGAAAATAGAAAGACTCTTGAAATCAGAGTGCAAGTTGGGACAATAATAATTTCCCCAGGCAGGTCCATTGTCATTGATTGCCCACCAATTCTCTTCCACTGGGCCATCCCGGAGGTTTTTAATCACAAAAGTAAACCCCCTCACAGTGCACTTTAGTGCAGGGCAATGTGATCCTAATTCAATTCTAGACCCTCATTCAAGTGTCTGCTGCCAGATTTAGACACACACCGATGCAGTTTGCGACATTTGGTGGCTCCCCGGCATCTTGCAACTCAATCGTCTGTAGCTGAATCTTCCTTCCCCTTTTCTCCCCCTCCCCCCTTTCAACCGACGCCTTTTACCTCTTACCTTCTTCAAGTAACAGGATACTGTGTCTGACTTATAGACAGATGTCCTGGTCAGGTTTGGAAAATGTCAAAGTTGTACTCCTGTACATGTATTCTGGGAGAGGCTGTTGATCTATCAACAGGACATCCTATCCATCTTGTCATTGGATTCAGGACTAGGTGTCTACTCCTACTTCCAGTCAACAAGCAATGCAAAAACACAGAGCAGAGAGATGGATACTGGACATTCAGCTGAGATGAATTACTTGGGTCCTCCATTGGCTGAGGGTCCCAAATTTGTAAATTGTCTGCAAATTCTATGGGGGCCCCTCCATAAAGTTTTCAAGTCAAAACAAAAGAACAGCAAAATGTGTATGATGGCATTTATTTCTGTGTGTCTGCACGTTCTGAATGAAACAACCCACCAGCAAAAAATAACACCTGACAAAAAGTACGCTTTGGAGAACTTGATACCCTAGCTGTCAACTCCTTGTTTAATCTGAAGAGGAAGCAAAGGGGAAAAAAATAGAGCATGAGTCATCACCACGACAACTGCAAGGTTTTCTGAATAAGCCTTTTGGGAGTTAAATCTGAATAAAATCTGGTACATTGAGTTCTTTAAATTCAAATGAACATAACAATTTGAATTCTCCATACTAAAACCACTGTTGCTATACCTCGTGATTTGGGGCAAGCTTTTGCTTAGTTACATGACAGATGCCCAGCACCAATACACTGTTCTCAATGGATAAGAAGGGCACAAACAAATCAGTCCATTCCAGAGATGGTGGTCACTCTGCTCAAGCTTGCCTCGAATCACGAGGTTTAGCAACAGTGTCTTTAGTCTGGGGAATTCAAATTGTGATGCTTATGTGCAATCAGATAACTCAGTGTACCAGATAGTATTCAAATTTAACTCGCAAAAATTTCAGTTGCCTGAGAACAGGTTTTCATTCAGAAAAGCACACTGCATTGCACTTTTTTAAAAATGCACTTCAAAGGCTCAAACCAGATTCCCCCTCCCACACTCCCCAATATTTGTAGGCTCCCACTGGTCCGTAGGGACATGAAAGGCTATGACATCTTTCCTCAGAGAGGAAGGACATGTTTACCCTCTCTCCCATTGTCTGTGCCCCCCACTCATCAGCTCGTAGGGTATGCTGTGTTGTGAAATTTCTTGATTAGCTTGTGCTAGGTACTCCAGAAAATCTTGACAGACAAAAAATGTGCATATTACAGTCATGAGTTATTGGTTGGGTTGGATTTGCCTGAACTTGTAAATTCAAGGATTTCCAGCTTGAAAGAAATAAGT